CCTTCCCCTCCACCGACTTCCTCCCGACCCACCCAACGACTCCTCTCCCCCCAGACGACCCATCCACCGAGTCCTCAGGCCCACTCACCCAACTTCCACCGCCATATCTACGGTCTTATCCAATAGCCCATAGTCCATCCATCGGTGTACCCAGGACCTAACCAATTGCCCACTCATAGGTCTAGCCACACGCTTAATACATCGTCCCATCTCTGGCCCACTCTTCGACCTACCGAACAGGCTTATCTAACAACATACCCACTTACCTACTGGCTGTGACAACCCACCACATACTCACAAGCCTACACAGCGGCAAACTCCCGGACAAACACGTTTCATTCAGGTACGTGCCTATGCCCATCTCGCTATCGCCTGTGCAAGTTCTAACTACTAATTTCTTGGCCGACTTCTGTCAAATAAAGTTACCGGTGTACCACTGGACTCCGGTAAATGGAAAATATTTCAGGTCTCGCACATACACACTCACATCACACACAACTACAAACAAAAACAGTGATTTATCAATCTCAAAGAGAATGAGCTATGAAAAGTTCTGATATTTCCTGCATTCCATTTCACGTAAGGAATATTATGCTTCTTCTCAGGGAATGGATTTATTTAACGGCGTAATAAAAGTTTAAACACACAATAAAAGCAAATGCAATGCAATAGAGTCGACCAATCTGGGAAAGCGTTCACGGACGAAACATTTTTTTAAAAAAATGTAAATGGAAACCAATCGGGGGTTATCTTTTTTCTAGTCGGTCTAATATGTACACGTTGAATTTTTAGATCATTTGTTAAATGTTTAGATCTAAAACACAAAGAGCTAGAAGTTTTGTTATGTTATATTCCCGGCTTAAAGTACGGTAGTTGCAACAGAGCGCATCGAAATAGCGAGAGAACTGGAGTGCATCAACATTCTACATTCTGCCCACTCCTGACCGCAGGTCACTTCTCCCGCCAGCGACCTAGCCAGCGCGCCGTCACGTCCACAAGTCACTGCCCCGCAGATCCGCGGCCTTAAAGATCGCCTCAGTTACGCTAATGCCGCAGCCTCCGCCGGCCTCACTTCCTACTTAACGAGTGACATCACGGACACCAAGGCTGCCCCGCGCGGCCGAGACGCGACGGCGACGTCAGTGACAAACCATTCATGGCGTCCGGCGAGGCGGCGACGGCGGCGGCGGGCGAACCGGTAGTTCGCGGGTCGGCCGCGCGAGCGCGCTGCGAGCGCGCGCCGAGGGCGCCAGCGGGCCGCGCGCGGCACGGTGCTTCAGTTGTTTTGATCCGCGGGCAGGCGCGGGGCGAGCCGTGCATTCCTCGCCGCAATAGCTCGCGCCGGAAGTGTTTGTCCGGTGGTGCGTGTTGTTTCGTGTTGTGTCGGTGTTCTGAAGCGTCTCGTCGAGTGAAATCTGTGTGGTGCAGCCAGGTTTTGATCTTTGGAGTGTCGTTTCGCCTGAGGTAAGGTGTGAAATATGTGTGTCACTAGCGATAATTAAGGGATTTTCCGTGTTTTTGATGAAGTTGGTTTGGCGGAAAACATGAAGTGGTTTCTTCGTTTGCGAAACATGCGTTGATGTGAAAAGGCTCTACTAAATGCAGATTCGAAGTGCGTGACGTATGAATTATATTGATTTTACGCGAGTTATACAAAACAGAATAGAAAAACTGACCTCTTGACGTAAACAAAAGTTTCGTTAACTTATCGCATGTGATCATCATCATACATTGGAGATTTTAGTGTATTTAGACAATTAGTAAAACCCGATGAAGCATTGTTCCAAGCTTAGAACACGAAATACCAACTGACAATCACGAAAACCAAAATCATGCGGATGTCATCATGACTCAGAAATGTCAAAAGATGTTCTTACATTAATGTCAATTTGTTTGTATCGTATCTAAGTGACATTCTAAACAAACGTAAGTACACTGTCAATCCAGAACACTCGATAACAGTATTACAATAAAATTAAAAATTTGAATATAGAAAAATGCAAAAGTAAAATTCTACATTTTACGAGTTCGTACCGACAACAATTGTCGAATGACGTGTTTCACATGTCACTGTTTGTGTACTTCTGTAAGCAACAGTGCTTACAAGTTCTACCAGACACACATTCTGGGGCGAAGTGTTATTTTCGCTGTGAGTCCATTGCCGAATTCCACCGCCCGACCACTGGGAGCTATTTATGTAACAGGCACAAACCAGCCCTCTTTGAGCTGTGGATCGACCCGCGGGAACCGTATGATTAACTAGCGTCCACTAGTTTCTCTCACTTGTCCAAAAGACACATTGCTCACAGGGCACGACAACTGTGCGTGTGAATATGTGTACACAACGTGTGTTCCCACTGCAGCTCTTGCGTTGGAGGTCGAATGTTGCCCTAACGCCCACGTTGCAATTAGCATTAGCATACAACTCTTTTGTCGCGCGCAAATTGCTTGAAAGGTCGGCACGGAATGTAGCATGTAAAATGCATTCGCACTTGGCATGTGTTTCGTTGCAGAATGATTTTTTGAATATGGAAATATGCTCATGTTTTAGTACTGGTCGCGTAGATTTTCTTCATAGTGCTATCCATTTGCAATAGTCCCACACTCGATTGTTTATTTAGTTTCGAAGAGATTAATTGATGTCCGCGATCCAAACGTTGTTTTTACAAATATATTCAAATTATGACAAGTAGCGGCTACATAAATTCTCGCAGTTTTTTTTTAAAATAAACCAACTAAAAAAATTACCAAAAAGTATAATTGACCTAACATAAGACATTCACAGTGACTATTCGTAACTCTGTGTTCCTCTTTAATGATTTACCAATTGCATTGCTTACTTGCAATTAGATGTCGTATTATTGAAGTAATAATGTTTGTCAAAATTTTAATCGTTTACCACAATTGTTTATGTACTTCATTTATTAGAAATTCACATGAAATTGGCGTGATTTAGTCCTTATTTCACGAAATTTTTCCATTTTAGGTTTTTAATCGGAACTGTTATCAAAATCATTAAAAGTAGTGTTTCACACTTACTAGTATTGTTAGTTTATAACTACTTGAATACCTTTCTTTATCAGGATATGTTTCTGAGAATGAGAGAATGAGAAAATGAGAAACAGTGTGGATAATGTAATATAATCTAAACTTACACGCAAAAAAAAAAAATGCTCCCCCTACCGCCAATTACGGTTCAATGAAAACCAGATTGGTTAATCTAATATCACTTACACGTAAGTGCACGTACCCGGTAGCTTCATAGAGTACAACTAGTTAGAAATGAGGCATCGTTAGTACAATACGTCAGCCGCGTTCTAATGGCTGTTCCGCACGTACCGACGTAGCTCGATGATCTTGCTTTTTAAACGTCGGATATCCACATGCGGACGTGGTCGCGTGCGGGGCGAAGACGCGAGCGAGCATATGCGTCCGCGGAGCATCCGTCTCTGGTAAGAGATCGCGTTTCGTGCGGCCGTTACTCTCCTTTCTGCGGCGGCGGCGGCCACTCGCGCACAATGGGAAGACCCAGCCGACGGGAACAGAAGAAGAGCGTCCTTGGGCCGAGCGTGCGCAAAAACGCTCGCCCGCAATTACGCTTCTGCCCGCGGGCTTCGGGCTCGACGCCAGCATTATTATTTTTGGAGACGTAGAAAATGTGAGAAGAAACATGTACGGTGAACAGGTTGATTTAGAATTGCCTTTCGACATTGATAGGCAGATGCGTCGCGATAAGTCGTGCGTAATATTTATGACGATTTTGCAAAATAGTAGCCAGCATTATTATTTTTGGAGACGTAGAAAATGGTAGAAGAAACATGTACGGTGAACAGGTTGATTTAGAATTGCCTTTCGCCATTGATAGGCAGATGCGTCGCGATACGTCGTGCTTGATACTTATGACGATTTTGCAAAATAGTAGCCAGAATTATTGTTTTTGGAGACGTAGAAAATGTTAGAAGAAAACATGTACGGTAATCTGGTTCATTTAGAAATGCCTTCGGACATCCGATTGGCAGATGCGTCACGATACGATAAGCCGTGCGTGACATTTATGACTATTTTTACGGAATCCAATGCATTTTCGATAGCAAAGAATACTTACGCGCCGCGTCGCAAATTATGTTTCTGCCAGCGGGCTTCGGGCGCGTCTCCAGAATTATTATTTTGGACACGTAGAAAATGTTAGTAGAAAGTACGTATGGTAATCAGGTTGATTTAAAATTGCCTCCGGCCATCTGAGTGGCAGATGCATCAAGATACGATAAGTCGTACGTGATATTTATGACAATTTTCCGAAATGGAAATGGAATGTATTCGTGATAGCAAAGAATAATTACCGGCTGAACGATCATAAAACTGTTTAATGACACTGCCAGATGCCAAGATTGACGCTACGAAGGGGGAAGGTTTCCACGTTGCAAAATGATGATTCTGGGATAACATCATCTGTGGCTGCACACTACTGTCTGTTTCAGAAATCCGTCTACATTTTCTTGCGCTTGACGCCTGAAGTGCCCCAATGTGTAGGGACTGCCTGATTCTTAAATTATTGTTCTACGATGAAATGTCAGCATGTTTTTATGGAAAATTTATTCTATTGAAAGGCATTGTTTCATAGATTTTTGGCTCTTCACATAGTTGGTATAAATTTTCTTTTCTAATTTCAAAAGAATTAAATTCCTTTTCGGAAATGACATCAGCATGGACAACAAATGCCCGACCTCGTGGGTCCGAAGTTGGGATGCGACATCGATGACGTTTTCAAAACATCGATGTTTGTATAAAATCGCCGATAGATTTAACATGGATTTTTTAAGCCAGTGTATTTTTAAAAAACAATGTTTTGTGTTCGATATTTTTCAATGGTTGATATTTTATTTTGTATGGAAAAGTACCATTGTAATTAAAACCTGTAATATTTTTTAGTTACCCATTTACTGAACATTATTTCACCAAAGTGATACTGAAAGAAAAATAATTATAATCCGGTTTCCGACGATAAATTAATTCATATTATTTTTGAATCGTCCAATCAGATAGTAAAAGTTTTATTAAATGCTCTGATCATTTTTGATTGTGTTTTGTCAGTTAAATCTCAATTAAAAATTAATTAACGCAATCACCGGAAAATTATCCCCCTCACGCGTGAACATTAATTGTTATTAATGAAGTTTCAAAAACATTAACCTTTAAAGCCATCGATGGATTTTGAGTAATGTTTTATTAACTTTCATGATTTAATTTTGAACATTGATGTTTACAAAATCGATGTGTTGTTGGCTATGTCACAGCTCTAGACTGAATCCATTTCGATTAACATTATATCAGTGCATTAGATATCGCAACTGAAGTTTCTTGGACTGAAAGATCGTAGGTTCGGTTTGCAACGGTGACAGGGTTTTTGATACCCGCTCAAAAGCTGTACCACCTTAACCAACAAACCGCGAATCATCCCCCCCCCCGACCGATATTGTCGCCACGCCCACGCAGGTGATGATTTGGTCTCCTCTCCTCAGGATAAATAAACTATGTACTATATAATACTTTAAAATAAAAAAAAGTGATAAATTGTCTAAAATGAAATGCGATTATATAAAAACTAATTATTACGAGATGATCAACAGATATTAATTTGAAATTAATATAGTTGTGAAATCTGCTTAGAATGCAGTTTTTTCTCGTAGGTAAATAGCACTGAAATATATTGTGCGATTTCAAGTACGTATTTTATGTGAAAAATCGTGGTGCCGAGTAGAAGAAATATAGACAAGTTCCGTCAAACTTTGCGTCAACCGACAATCGGGCATATAAATTGGTTTTGAATAAAGAAATCTGCCATTCACTAAGAGAAGGTGCAACACCTGTCAGTAAAGCGGCTTGAGAAAGGTCACGTACGTGACATCATATCCGTTGCTGCGCAAATGATCGAAACTACGGCTCACTCTCTTCTCTCTAGACTTTCGGTATTCCATTTTTATTCAAGAAAATGTGTCGGAAATTATTTCATTTTTTTACTTTGTTCTAATGACTATGATAATTATCAATTAAAACTCATTGACAGTGCCATGCATGGTTGTGTTTAATGATCAGACATTATACTATCACATATGAATTATCTGTGTAAAGTTGTGATGGCATGATGTAAGCATTTCATTCACAATGAGCTCAGGCACAACATAATATCATGTTGATTATTATGTTATTAAGACGTTCACACAATGTTAATAAAATGGCAATAAAAATATATTTCAGTTATAGCTCAATATACGCTTCTAATCCCGTTATTAGTTTTTAAAACATGTATGCGATAAAATTCTAATGAAGCGGAATCTCTAAAAATCGGGAAATTTCGGAGCATAGAGGTGATGATATTTAGAAAAATGTCTTAGTCACCCTACAGAGCGACTAAAAAAACGATTTATGTGAGATACATCCAAGTACGGGAATTATTATTACTAAAA